AACACACAAAAATAATAATAACAATGATACCAATAATGGCAATAACGATAATAATAATAATAATAATAATAATAATAATAATAATAACAACAACAACAACGAAGAGAAATTTAACTTTGAAAATGTTTTAAAATTATTTTCAAATAGAAGCAACAACAACAACAACAACATTAACAACAACAACAACAACAATAATAATAATAATAATAATAACAACAACAATATAAATGCGATTAAGCAAATGTTTGAAATAGCTAATAATAGACAGCAATTGACAAATGCCATTGCTGGCAAGAAGAAATGTCTCGCAGCTATTAATAACAACAACAATAATAAGAAGACTACTACCATTACCACCGCTACCATTACTACTACTTCTACTACTACTGCTACTGCTACTACTAGCACTGCTATAAATACGCTCCCGAAATTCTATTACGGTCAGAATAGTGCGAATTATGCCATTGAAGAAAATCATAAAAAAATTATGACGTCATCAACAACAACAACAACAACAACAATGGTGTCATCATCATCATTATTAGCAGCGACATCATCGTTATCAGCAGCAGGGGAGGCGGCATCGTCTACTGCAAGATTAGGTGTTGAGGATTTGAAATTGTTGTTTTCAAACAAACCAACAACAACAACAGCAGCAACAACAACAACATCAACAAAAATACTGAACACTAGTTGGCCAGCTAAATATAGACTTCCGTCAACAACAACATCAACAACTACTACTACTATATCAAAAACATTAACAACAACAACAGCTTTTATCAATTTGAACGACAATTCTGGCAACAATAATAATAACAACAATAATAGTAATAACAATAATAATAACAATAACACCCAAATTTATTATTCGGTTAAAGTCAAGCAGATAAAAGATTTCTATAGCCAGCTCTCTGAATCTTTGGTTACAAAAAATAACAACAACAACAACAACAAAAACAAAAACAACAATAATTATTATTATTGTTCTTCAAATAACAACAATAACAACAGCAATAGCAACGACAATAACAAAAGCATTAATAACAATAGCATTTATAACAACAACAGCATTAATAATAATGATAATAAAAAGAGGAAAAATAACATTAATAATAATAATAATAATAATAATAATAATGATAATAATAATAATAATAATGATAATAATAATAATAATAATGATAATAATAATAATAATAATAATAATAATAACATAGATAACGATGTTGGTGACAGTGGTGATGATGATGGCGACGAAAACAAGGCCGATGACGATACTGAAAAAATAGTAAACAAAAGTGATGATTGTGATGATGATAATAATAATAATAATAATAATGATAATAATAATAATAATAATAATAATGATAATAATAATAATAATAATAATAAGGATGCAGATGATGATGATGTTGACAACGGTGGGTATATTTTTATTGATGATGATGATGATGATGACCGCAACAACAACATCAATAATAATAATAATAATAATAATAATAATAATTTTATTTTGAACAATTACATTAACGAATATGACACAAGTAATGGCTTTGCCGACACTAATTCTATTGACCTAGATCAATACAAAATTCGTCTCGACAACAACAACAACACCAACATTAATAACAACAACATTAACAACAACAGCAACATTGAAAACATCAACAGCAACATTGAAAACAACAGCAACATTAAAAACATCAACAACAACAACAACAACATCATTGAGAATTGCAATAACATGAAGAATGTCGTCATTATAAACATGGGCAGCAAGAATGACCTGATTAGTAACATCAACAACAACATCAACAACAACAACAACAACAACATCAACAACAACAACATCAACAACAACATCAACAACAACATCAACAACAACAACATCATCAACAACAACATCAACAACAACAGCATCAACAACAACAACATCAACAACAACATCAACAACAAAAACGTCTCAAGCCCAACAAACTTCCACTACAAACGCAACATACAACTGCACACATCATCTCGGCAGCGTTTCATCAACACTCGGTACCGACAGAACAACCATTATACAAAAAATCAGTCGGTTTTAACACCGATACCGAATCAAACATTCAACAACTACAACAACAACTACAACAACAACAACAGCAACAACATCAACTACAACAACAACAACAACATCAACAACAACAACATCAACAAAAACATCAACCACAACAACAACAACATCAACTACAACAACAACTACAATAACAATTTCCATCAGAACTCCGTCTACAAAAAGCGCTACGTAAATCCGGAAATACAACACAGCAACAACTACACTAACATCGCTAATTTGCAGCAGAGATCGGCACATCCCTATTTCCCTAAATCCCCAAGAAGGAGACGATTAGGCAGCGTTACCAGGATCACTCTGAACGGTGATGAAAAAGATGATGGCAAAAATGACGCCGTGTATTATAGCGAACCAGAATTTATTGATGACGATGACGATGACGATAATAATAATAATTATAATTATAATAATAATAATCCATATTACAGTAATGATTGTTATTTTAATGAGGGTTTGTTGAGAAAAAGACAGCTTATTCCAGCCTATAATTCGAGGCAAAAACAAAAACAACAACAACAACATTACCACCACCATCATCAACAACAACAACATCATCATCGCCAGCAACAACATCGTCATCATCATCAACAACAGCATGACCATCATCATCAGCAGAGTCAACATCAACAACATTTACCCCACAACAACAACAACAACCACAACAACAGACTAAACAACAGATTTAGCTACAGCAACAGACTAAATAGTAGATTTCGCTACAACACTAGTAACAACAACTACAACAACAACTACAACAACAACTACAACAACCACAACAACTACTACAACAATACTGAATTCAACAGGGTCAACAAATTCAGAATCAGACGCAACAGCTTATCGTCACTCACCGACCTTGAGCTGAGGGCTGACCTTGAGAAAGTAAACAAATCTAAAAATAGCTACAAAATTTCCGTCCTCTTAAAAATGATGGACGATAATAAGCTCGTCTCTAATAGCAGTTACAATGATGGTAATGATGTTTTCGACGGTGGTCATGATGACGATGATCGTGACGTTGTCAAAATTGTTTACAGTGGTACGAAACAAGATGCTAAATTAGCAAAGGTAACTAATAATAAAAACCAAAGAAGCAATACTAGCAGCAAAAGTAAAGGCAAGAAGCTAAGAATGGGCGACATTAACTTCAAAAAAGATTGGAGAAAACGAAGGAGCGTCAGCTTCCTGGATGACGTCACCAATAATAATAATAAAAATAATAATAACAACAATAATAATAATAATATTTTTGATCTCCAATATTCGCAGCACAAACTCAACCCGATGTACGCCAGCGATCACGAACTTAACGCAAAAAAATAATTGTTGTTGTTGTTGTTGTTGAAGATGATGACGACGACGCTGATGAAGAAATGACGTCACCATGACGTAGACAAGACATTTATTTTATTTTAGTTTCTCTTTTATTCACTTATTTTGAGTTTTGATTTTGAAAATTTCCTAACCAACTAACAGACGAAAATTCATCTTCCACTACTGGCGACTCTAACTTTACTAAGACAAAAATACGGCATTCATTTTGGAAAATACTACCACTACTACCACTACTGCCACTACTACTACTACAACTACCACCACCACTACTACTACTACTACTACTATTATTACTACTACTACTACCACTACTACTACTATCACTACCACCACCACTACTACTACTACTACCACTACTACTACCACTACTACTACTACCACTACTACTACCACTACTACTACTACTACTAATAATAATAATAATAATACTACCATTACTACTACTACTTTCTCGTGCCTCAGGACATTGGCGACCACCGACCTCAACCTACTACTACTACTACTACTAATATTACTACTACTAATATTACTACTAATACCAATACTACTACTAATACCAATACTACTACTACTAATAATAATAATTATTATTATTATAATTATGTTATTATTTTTATTCTTAAAAAATCACTTGCCGGCATTCAAGTTAGGAGCTCTGAAGCCGAGCCGAGCCAAGGCAAGCCAGCCATTCGCGAACTAGCAAAAAAAAATGACACGCATCTCAAATTAGTTACCCAACCAATCCTGTCTATCTACTTTTTAAACTATATCTAACTAGAGATACGGCGGAGAAAAGAGCCACGTAGTATCTGCATGGGATTGGTATCTTTCGATTTAAGCTCTTCTATAAAACTCTACATAGCCGAGCAAACTCCATTTTATTGCTTTCTCCCCTCCTATTTATACTCGTCTCAACAGTACATCCTCATCATCTCAATCATTCACATCAGTAAAAAGCTGATTTAATGTATGTATTATACTAATACAAAGTCTTAACAACAATGCTAATCAAACTGTCCGGATTGACAAGTTCGATTGGCTCTGTTGCTTTCTATATAGACATATAACCTTATTAATTACACTGACATACATAATGTTTTTTTTCCCATAAAATAATTAGTGTTCTTATACAAGTTTTTTACGCTGATTTCAAATCTGAAAACCGTTTTTCTCTATCACATTGCGTTCCAAAGAAAACGACTAAACAATTTTTTTAAAAAAACCTTTTACCTGTATAGTTTATCTATGCCCTACGTTATTTGTTTTCATAATAAAAATTTAATTTCGTTGCCATGGCCACTCGAAAGTGTTTAAATTCTCCTAATTTGTTTTGTTATGTTTGTGGGTATTTTACTGATGTCGACCATCGGAAAACGATGACCCAATTATTAAAAAAAGCTTAAGAACTTTATTTCGATTCAAAAGTTGATGATGCGGAAAAACAGTGGAAACCAAACAACATTTGCTCCATTTGTGCTAATACTTTGGCAGGTTGGTTGCGAAAATCACCAAAGCACAAGTCAATGCCGTTTGGAGTTCCAGTCATATGGCGCGAACCCACAAATCATGCCACAGATTGTTACTTTTGCATGACAGTTATAAAAGGATTTTCATTTAAAACTCGTAAGTCTATTTCTTATCCCGACATTGAATCAGTATCCAAGCCGATTCCTCACAACCCTGTCAACTGTCCAGTTCCAATTTCTCCTGATTCGTACTCCTTTCATTCAGTGACAAGCAAGCAAATCCAGAAAGTACCAATGATTCTGATGATAACTACATTCCAGAAAGTGATGAAATTCATTTAGTTAATAATGCAAATCTTTCTGACCTTATACGTGATCTTGCTTTGACGAAAGGACAGGCGGAGCTTCTTGGTTCACGATTAAAACAGTGGAATTTATTAGTTCCTGATGCAAAAATATGCAACTTTCGCTTCAGACACAAGAGCTTATGCTGTACTTTACATCAGATGACAGTATGTGCTACTGTAATGATGTTAAAAATCTTATGGCACATCTTGGTCATGAACATGAAGTGAAGAACTGGCGGCTCTTTATTGATGCATCAAAAACGAGTCTAAAACTTGTGCTGCTGCGTAATGGAAATTTATTGCCATCAATTCCAATTGCTTACTCCACTCAGTTAAAAGAGACTTATGGCAATATCAGTAATGTTTTAATAAAAATAAAATATAATGATTACAAATGGAGAGTGTGTGGAGACTTGAAAGTCATTGCAATCGTCATGGGTCTACAACTTGGTTACACCAAATTCTGCTGTTTCCTCTGCGAATGGAATAGCCGGGATAAAGTTGCACACTATACAAAAAAGATTTGGCCTATTAGGGATCGCATGGAGCCTGGTCATAAGAATGTTTTGCATGAGCCACTGGTTCTCAAAAAAGATATCATTTTACCACCGTTACATATCAAGTTAGGTCTGATGAAGAATTTTGTGAAAGCGTTGGATAATACAAGTGATGCTTTTACATATCTTCGTTCCATGTTTCCACGAATCAGTGATGCTAAAATAAAAGAAAGAATTTTTGTGGGCCCTCAGATTCGAAAAGTAATAGGTGATAAACATTTTCAAGATATGCTAAATGGAAAAGATCTCGAGGCATGGGTAGCATTCAAATCACTTGTTGTCAATTTCTTAGGAAATAATAAGTCAAATAATTGCAAAGAAATCGTTGAACAATGCATCAATGCCTTTCAGAAGATGGGATGTAACATGTCCCTTAAAATACATCTTCTTGATTCGCATATTGACTTTTTCCCTGAATGTCTTGGTGAAGTCAGTGACGAACACGGAGAGCGTTTCCACCAAGAAATCGCTGTAATGGAATCACGCTATCAAGGACGATGGAGTAGTGCTAGGCTTGCAGATTACTGGTGGTTTCTGCAACGTGATGCCCCAGAAGTTAAGCACAGTCGAATGTCTACATGCAAGAAATTTAAGCCTCTTTCTTAAAATTAAATTTGAATCAACTGTCTTATTTTAATGAACAATCACAAAATTTTTAATTATTAACTATTTGTTTTCAATAGAATGACATTTTTTGATTAATAAAAATCTTGAAAGAAATTACTTTTTATATTTTAATGATTATATTGTGAGTATATTTATTAATAAAGTAATCATTACTTCAACTGAAGTTTTCTTAAAATTTTGATGTGATACAAGTAAATGGATTACAGATTTGAAATCAGCATGCTGAAATGATCCAGAAAAACATACACTCACTAAAGAAAGTAAAAAAAAAATTTTTTTTGTATGTCAGTGTATACAAATAATTATTTGTATACAAGGATTTTAGCTGCTCGATGAGTATTTACTGTATGAATTCATTGTATAAAAACAGCAGCTATTATAGCTACACATGACTGCAAGCAGTTTAATTTTTTCTTAGAGAATTCCAAATAATTTGAGATCACACCTTATTCACTTAACATCCGTTGCATAAGTTAGAGAGTATAATTATAAATACATGAATATGTAACATGGCAACACGTATCTATCTACCTACTTGACATTTGTAAAATTTGCTAAAATTTATTTTATAGGAATCAAATGTAATATATACATTATACATACACCGACTGACTCGCTAACATACAGTTAAATAACTGGCATAACGCCCAGGTGACGTCATTTCCGCCAATGCGAATCGCCCATCCTACTTAAAATTAATTTGTTAAAATTAAATGAAAATTTGTGTTAGGTTAATAATTAAAAAAGTTATTAACAAATAAATTTAAGCCATTATGAACGTGCATTTAATGTGGGAGACATGGTCTGAAGGAATAACTGTGGTTGTATACTATGTATGTAGGGGTTTTTGTAGAATCCTAATCCTACCATATGGTGTTTGAATAGGACAAGTTAAAAACATTTTTATGCGGTTTTTATTAGTTAGGTCATCATCATCTATATATGGCAATAAAATACAACAAAATTAAGGTCGGTTCCTTCCTTCGATATGTTACTAGTTCATGATAATGATGTATGTGTTTGTGTGTGTGTGTGTGTGAGAGAGAGTGTGGGTTTGTGTGCATGTATGTGCGTGTGCGTATGTACTTTTGCTTTTATGAGTAATGTCAGTGTGCGGAGTTCGTTGAATGTGATTATGAGGATGGTGATGAAAATATTAGTTTGAATAAAAAGCATCTAAGATCGGTGTTCAAAGCTAGCAACGAATAGAAATATAAAGGGAACAATAACAACAACAATAATAATAACAATAATAATGATAATTATTATTATTATAATTAAAATAATAATGGTGATGGTGGTAGTAAGAATACAAATCTATGTTCTTGGATACGAATAAACGAAGAAAGACAAAATAACATTATTAAAAACATTGAAGTGAAATCTTTAAAAATTAATTATATCATCGTCAGTCTTAATCACAATTTGATCCCTTTAAATTATTCTAACCATCAGCATCATCTCCCTAATCATCATCATCATTATCATCATCTCGTCGGCCATATTTAATAATGGTCGCCATCGTCATCAAAGTTTTAAAAATTATTTCAACGGCATGTTCAAAACCTCGCTAATTTCATCAAGAAATGACGCTGAATCTATTAGATCATCTCCAAAAGAGGCCCTAGGAACTTCACATTTCCGTACCCCCAGCCTCATTTTCGCGGGCACTCCCTCAACCTTACCAATTTTCAAGCCTTGCTGGGGACTGATATCCAGGGATGTGCTACTCGGTGGGGTCCTTACGACGTCAAATTGGCCACCTTGCAAGTATTTTTTTCTAATTTCGCTTGCAGTTTTCCTCTGCTCGTTAGGATTTCGTCGTCGTCGTTTGCTTGGCATGAAAGCCATCGGTGTTGTTGTTGTTTGTTTTGTTGTTGTTGATGTTGCAGTAGTAGTTGTTGTTGTTATTGCTTGGATGGGTTTTGTTGTTGATTGAGTTGGTGCAGTTGTGTTGTTGATGGTTTGACTTCCTTTGAGATAAGAAGTAG